TCATTGCAAATAGCTCTTGGAATAGATTTAATAAGAAAGTAAGGTCAATATTTGTATCCTCACAGCCAACGCTGTGAAATATTTTGACTACTTTTGTACCTTTATAGTGTTTAATCAATGTCCATAAAGTCAGTTGCTGCCTAGATCAAGATATCAGTGTTTAGTTATGATACTTCATATTTGTTAAACTTTTAACATGCTAGAAGCTTTTAAAATTTTCCTTACAGTTTATAATCTTGTAGCAGCCACATGAAAAGTAACTTGTAAATCAATCCAGAGTTATTAACATGATTATAAATTTGCCATTTATATAACAGAAATTACAAATTGTAGCTTCTCAAAATCCATCTGGTAATAGGGCTTCTAGCATCTTAGTAAGATGAACATCAATGTTTAGTTAAATAACTCTAAAGAATGTCTTTAAGAGAAGATATTGCATTTAGGCATAATTTGGAAGATATCCATTTAAGTATGTTAAGACCCACAATGCTAATTTTCACAGTGGGACAATTTCTTCAGATGAGTTCTCAAGCAGGAAGCCAGCCCCAGGTGTGCACAGACGAGTGGGATTATGGGTACTTCTCGGAGCACGTCATGGGACTGACAGGAAGTAAGGAGGCAATGCCAAACGCAGAGAAGTGCTGACTCGTCCCTTATTTTTTATGGTTGTCTTTGCCTTTTTGATAGAGTCTTAAAAAGTTTTAAGTACCAACTTAGAAATTTACCAAAAATAATTTTTAAAGGACTGTTTTTATATTCTGATAGAAATTCAATGGAATGGTACAAAGGGATATAAAGTGCTGTATATCAATTAAAATTTGATGGCAAGCTTTTCCATATTTTTGCTAAAAGTAATACAAGTTAGATGTTTAACATTTAAATGTTCATATTTAATTTTTATAATATTAAAGTAAACTGTAGTATGAAAATAAATTTAAATAAATAAAGTAATTAATCTTTTGATGACCTTGAACTTGGTCAATTTATTAATGTGACATATGATTACTTTCTAAATCACTTTTATTATAATGTCACTACCTGAAAATGGGGCTGACAATGAATTTTAAATGGTAGGTACAGGGAGTACGGGAGATTTAGGATATCATTGTAAGTGATTAAAATATAGCACCCCGAGAACGTAGCTCTGGAGCCCGGTGCCTGGGTGTGAGATGCACGTGGTCAATGAGTAAACACCCGCAACTGTAACGGGGGTTGAAACACCAGCACTCCTGAAAAGTAACGTTCTCAGCAAGTGAACTAGAACAAGTAAGGGATTCGACTATAGAGACCTGAACATATGCACCCATCCCATTCTCGGGGGCAGCTTGAGTGGAGAAGAGTAAAAATATAAATAAGTTAAATTAAAAAAGTATTTCCTACAAGCTCCTAACTACGTACTCATATACGTATGTTTGGATGTCAAACCAAAACCCTTCTGTGAAAACATGCACTTTAGATCAGATTTCAGAGGCTTCCCATATATGAAGTCCCATGGGATAAAAACCCACAATGAAACATTTTAAGACAAGAAGAAGGGCAAACAAACAAAAACTTCTTCCATTCAAAATAATCAACCTTGTCCTATATCTCCCTACGGGCATTGCCCTCTCAACCCCTCTTCTCCTGACCACAGCCAAACTTATTCAAATTCTTATCTACACTCGATACATTCCCTTCTCCTCTTTCTTCTCTTTCTTCCATCTACTTCTCTTCCATCTACTCCAGTCTGGCTCAGTCGCCCATGTTGTCACTGAATCAGCTCTCGCTAAGTGACCAATGACTTTCATCTTGCTCCATCGCAGGGACCTTCGCAGACCTCATCTCATTTACCTTTGCAGCGTCGTTTGCCATGGCTCATCACCCCCTTCTCTGTGTTGCATTATCTTTCCCCAGCTTCTCCAATGAGCACATTCTCTTGGTTTTCTCCCGTGTATCCATCTATTTTATGGGCTCATCCTATTCCAAGTGGTCATGAAGTGTTAGCCTTCTTCAAAAATTCTAGCTCCCCTCTCTTCCTAGTCTCCCCTCTCTTCCTAGTCTATGTTTTCACTCATGGGTAGTTCATTCACTGTCATGGTTTCAGTGAGTATTATTTAGAATTCCAAGGCACCAAATTCTTTATGAACCAAATATACTCTGGTCAGGACTGCTGTTCCAGGCAACAGATCTGAATATTCAGCTGCCAATTTGACTCCTCTGCTCATGTGAATCAAAGCCATCTCACACTCAGACATGTCCAAACTGGACTCAGGAGCTCTTCCCTACAATTGCCCCCCACATTCTGACCCTCTTCTTTTCCCAATCTCAGTGCATAGTGTCACACCACAAACCCGGTTTGCCCATGTGAGACAGAGGAGGGATCAGGGAACTTCCTCCTTTCTCACTCCATCACAGCTGATTCAAGTTTTCATGTGACAGGGCAGGGCGACAGTGGGTTTGCAGTTATGAGTATGCAAAGCAGAGTTTATTTTTGTGTTATTATCTATTTATTAATGTGTTATTTTCCATACGAACAACCATTAACCTACATTTGCCTCATCTTGTGCTTGTATTCTTAACACTTCTCTTTTTTTAAAGATTTTATTTATTTATTTTTAGAGAGGGAAGGGAGGGAGATAGAGAGAGAGAGAGAAACATGAATGTGCGGTTGCTGGGGGCCGTGGCCTGCAACCCAGGCATATGCCCTGGCTGGGAATCGAACCTGCGATGCTTTGGTTCACAGCCCGCGCTCAATCCACTGAGCTACGCCAGCCAGGGAACACTTCTAGTATTAAGTTGCATCTCTTCAAATTTACGGCCAGGCTTCTACAATAAACTACCATTAATTCTGATACCATATCCTAGTCAACTTGACACCTAAAAGTAACCTTGAAAGCCCTGACTCAGAAATTTCACTTTCAGCCCTGGCTGAAAACTCAAATGTAATATTTTAGACTCAAATGCAAATTGAAGGCTGTTAATACGTATGGTCCGATGTAATCTACTGAAAATTGTGGACACATCATTGCACATATTTATTTCATTCATAAGTTAAACTTAAAAGCAGAAACTCTTGAAGTCACTTTTAAAACTATAATCAAAAACTACTATGCAATGTAATAAATCTAAATAAATCTAAAAATGTAATAAATCTATCGGAAACAAGACAATGATAAAAAAGCAAAAGTCGTGTAAACATACGCATCTCAACATTACACATCTAAAATATTCTATAGGTTAGGTATTATTTCAATAAACAATATAACTATATTTGCCTCTGTCCAATTTTCTGAAGAGCATAATAAACTAGACAGAGTAAATATAAATATTCCATGCAAATACAAATGCACCTATAGATTTATAATATAAATTATATAAACTTATATGCTTCTAGAAGCCTACTGCCTCCAAGAAGTCTGACGCGAGGGTAATAAAAGGGAGAAAATTGAATGATTTCAGTCCCTGATATATTGTAAGAAAGAAAAAGAAAAAGAGCCCTTTAACTGAATATTTGATTATTGCAGGCCATCCTCATAAGCAAAATATTTTCCCTCAATTACACCTAATTATTGAATTGTTTACATTTACTAATGGAATGAAACAACACAAAACAAACAACCGTGAGGGGATGTTCCTCAGCAAGGGTACAATCATCAGTCAATGCAAAGTGAAAGATTCGGAAAATTGTAGGGAGCTGGTCTGCTGAAAGAGGAAGGCAGCTTTTACCCCAATCAATGCAGAAGAGTAAAATTGCCCCTAACTGGGGCTGCTTCTCCGCTGTGCCTTCAGCCCTAGTGACTCCCACACACTGCTCAGGCACATCAATTATGATAATCTTAATCACGGTCGTTAAGCCGGGATCCCGGTGACAGCAGATTCAATCACCGGGTGCGCCGGCCAGGCCGCCACAGCCCCACCCAGGTTTCTGCAGACAGTGACGCGCCACATTAAGCCTCTGATCTGTTCCGCATCCCACTCCGTTCCGAAAGTCGTGGACGGGAAAGGTCGACTTTATGTTCTGTGCAATATGCTTAGGTTCTCTAAATTAATTCTTTGGAGTGCGAGATATTTTTATGCTGAGCAGCTTATCAAATATTGTTTAGGACCAAAATGCACATTAAAAAAAAAAGGCTGTTTTGCTGGTGTAATTCACTTATAATAAGGCAGGTGAGGTGAGGCTCTGTTCACACGGACTGTCTTAATAGTCTCCTATGGAATTTTGCAAATAAGGGAAAACATAAATTGTCCCATTAAAGTCAGTTGTCTAGAGTGAACATGGAAACTAATTCCAATTAAGATAAAAGGCTTAGACTATCATTTCTGCTTTGGTTAATATGGACGTATGTAAATGTTTTGACAACCAAAAAAATATTTTCTATACTGAGACTTTAATTGCCCAACTGTTTTAGATGTACCAAAGTGAATTAAGTTAATAGTGACTAGTATATTCCCCTTATTAAGTTTCATTTCTATCTTAAATATTGAAATCAGCACAAGAGGAATTTATAAATACAAAGTAGATACCCACATTTAAGACGTTTGACCATTTAACTCAGAGGAAGAATCGAACAACTTAACTTGGGCATTTCATAAACAGATTAAAGAAATATGAATAAGTTATGTAATATATACATTATCTTATTATTGACTTACATACTTTCAAGAAAAATAATACACGTTATTTTTCATTATGATTTTCATACTTTCAGTAGAAAATAGTATTATTTGCTGTCAACTTCCTGACACTGTAATCTTTGTATAATGTTCGTCATATGAATAGCCTTAAAAATAGAGCAAACTATTTTTAAGTAGTTGATACATTAATCAATTTCACCTGACTGCCATCAGAGATTGATTAATCTCTTAGTGACCTAGGTCAGCCGCACCGTCTGTCCACAACATCGCATTTTGTAGCCACGACGGTATTCATCGTAGTAAGAATATTTATACTTGCTGTCATCGGTGTCTAATTTCAGCCTTTGATAAGAGATACTGCTTTCGTGCGTGTTGCACTAACTCACCTTGCCGCAGATCCATTTTTCAGGATTTTCGTCTCTGAAACTCTGACACCCGTAAGCACTGGAGCCACACTTGCTCGATAAATGCACAGACGGGATGTACTTTTCCTTCTTGTGGTAGGAGGTGAAAGGCAAAAACCTGGAAGGCATTAAGGTGATATTACGAATTTGGTTTCTGGGGACATCTGATTAAAAAACAACACTTTGGAGAAGTAGTCAAGTCTAGTAGAAATAATGTGCGGCCTGGGGTTGGAGGACCTGTGTCACACGCCAGCCTTTGTCACTGCCTGTCACTGTCACTAACTTCTGTGGACCTTCATGTCTTATTCTGTGAGTGGAGATGCTAAAAGTCGTCAAAGAATCCTTGAGTCTCAATTCTTTTGTGAATACAGAAAAAGTTCAATAATTAGTTTATGAATGAATGATACCAAATAATTCCAAATTCATCATGCAAGAACAAATGTCCTTGATTTTAAAATCCCAAATGGAAAAAATACAATAAAAAATAAACTACTGAAAAATAATAAAATGGTATCCCAAGAACAAAAAGGATGGCCAGGCCGGGCGATTCCCATTGAAATGGGTTGTCTGCAGATCTTAATGCGCCCCAGGGGTGGGGGGCACACTGGGGACTGGCTACGCACGGAGGGGCTTCCGAGTGAGCCGACCTGCACTGGCTCCTCAGCTTTGCCCTGGTGGCTGTGTTCCCTCACGCAAGATGCTCGATCTCGCTGAGACTTCACGTTCACACAGAGCTGTGGTAGGAGTGAACGGCTTCCCATACATTGAGATGAGCGTATGTGAGGACAGAGAGCGCAGGGGTCCAGTAGGTGGCGGGGATGCTGAAAGTGGGTGTAAACGGGGAAGGAGCTCGTGGAGGAGGCTCTCAGCGCCGTCGCCATCACACTGGTCAGCACTGCTGTATGGGCGTGAAAGCTCCAGCTGTGGAAGAGCCGTGCGAGCTCCCACAGAGCACCCGACACTGCCGTCCGCTTTGGGTGTGACCTGATCAGTGGTTTGGGTCTCTCAGCAGAGCCCTCGGCTCGGTCCTTGTTCTCCGACAGGTCTGTTTACCCCTGAACCGGGCCAGGGCAGCAGTCTCCGGACTGCTCTCCGTCCCCAGTGACCCCTGACCCTTCACCGTGGACACAGCTGCTCAGCGGGCATTTCCAAGTGACCTGTTCTTATACACAAGCACAGGGTGATGCGTCCACACGGTCTCCCCATGGTCACGTGCAAATCCTTTCTCACGGTGCACAGGGCCCTTCATTCTCTGCCTGCACCTCCACCTGCCATCTCACTGCTGCCCCACAGCTTGCGGAGCCAAACCTATGCGCTAAGCTCCTCAGGGTGCCCCGGACAGCGAACTGCGAGCCCCGCGAGCTGCGCGCTTCCGCAGCAGACATGACCTTGTGCGGACCACCTGCTCTCTGCCGCTCTGCTCGCTCTGCCTGGCACACTTCTGTTCAGCTCTCGAGGCTCTTCGGACCCCCGCCTTTTGAACCCCAAATTAAAACAGCACAAACCGGGATGTATAAATGCCACACCAATATAAGCATGGCACAAAACAACTGTTTTTCTCAACAACATAAAATCCACATGCTTTACAAATGGATTAAAAGTCAATTGGCAAACCTGTAGTTAGCCTGTATTGGGTATCGCATTAGGAAGTGTGCTTAGAAACTGACCAAATCTAACTAAAAAGGCCAAATGTGTCTTTCTTACAACGTGTCAGATTGCATGCAATAAGAGCATATATAATATTCTCAGGCATATCACTAGAAGTATTCCAAATTGTCCATTTTGTCAATATTATAAATGTTAAACTTCTTTAGACTTAGAGGTCTATAATAACGAAATCCCAGCATCCTGTGATTTATTTAAACACACACACACACACACACACACACACACACACATATTTTCAAGGAAACAGTGGACAAAAAGGGAGCACAGTCTTGGAGAGTCTTCACTGCACACAGCCAAAGGAATAAAACGTCTCCTTTATAGACAAATGCTAGAACTTCTTAATTATACACAAGCTTATTATCTGTATCCCCAGTGTTATAAAGCACCAGAACTTCATTAGAAAAATTAAGCTGGAAAAAATGAAGGCAGCACTTTGTAAATTTCCACTGGAAATTAGCTGGGAAAGGCGAAGGAAGAGCAGATCAAAGGAGGGTAATCACGCCGCGCCATGCCCTGGAGCTCCACGTGGAAAATGCGATTTCCGCGGCCACTGCCTCTCCCATTACTGCTTGTTTGGAGTGCTCCGTGTTAATGGGGTTAGCTAATCTAGTATTTTAACTTAAAAAGGCTCTGCTGATTAATAAATGTTGCACACTGTGCTAGTAATTAAAATAAATGGAAGAGTTACAAATAAAAGTTGAATTGTTAAGAAAACACTCTCTGAAAATATATGATAATCCCTATTTATCATAATACAGTAATGGTTCAGAACATATGCAAATTGCAGAGGCCTGAAGTGTCGGAAAAATCACCAAAGTCAAAAAAGTTTTGAGATGGGTTAAATGTCCCGGTCGCTATTCTGTAGCGATAAGCAGAACCACATCTCATGTCTGTACGCCACATTCTTTCAAATGCCCTTTAAAAAACCTGTTCCTGAGGATCTCTCTTCTTAACTTTTCCTATCTATGGTCCTGTTCTTGAAATGATACTTAATTAGAAAAATATTTAAAAGGCTTAAAAATGAGCCACCTACTATTTACCAAGGCTTCTGTCTGAGCTAGAAGGCAAATTCAAGGGAAGTGAAGGCAGACACATAAGATTCATGCTATTGAACGTTTCTCATCCACACTATCAAATGAGGAGCTGAAAAAGTTTGAGTTATGCCCTGGCTGGTGTGGCTCAGTGGACTGAGTGCCGGCCTGCCAACCAAAGGGTGGCTGGTTCAATTCCCAGTCAGGGCACTTGCCTGGGTTGTGGGCCAGGTACCCAGTAGGGGGTGTGCAAGAGGCAACCACACATGTTTCTCTTCCTCTTTTATTCCCTTTCTTCCCCTCTTTCTAAAAATAAATAAATAAAATCTTTTTAAAAATTGAGTTTTTATTACTGCTTTGCTACTGAACGTTTATAGGACATCTTTCATTTCACCTGCTCCAAATTATTTGGCGCAGAATACACGCCTCAAATAATGCCACTTCGGCAAAGCTACCTGAAACAACAGGTATGAGGGGAGGGATCTAAGGGGAAGGGTCGTCAAGGAGCATGTAGGAAGGACCCGTGGACAGAGACAACGCGTGGGGGGGGGGCTGAATGTGGGAGGTGGGGTGGGTGGGGACGGGGAGAGTAATGGGGGGGAATGCGGACCACTGTAACTGAACAACAATACAAAAAGGGAAGGGATCTGACGTCTTTCTTCTCCCTGAAGTCAGGAGCTAAGAGTCCCTATGACAGATGCCTTCCCCATTGCAGGGGAATGCTTTATAAAACAGACCTTGTTAAATAACTTTTATCTTCCTTTGGTTTCCTCATGTATTTTTGTTACTTTTCCACAATTGCTTCTTCTTGCTCAACCTAATATAGAAGCCCTAGGGTTTGCCACTCCTTGGGGTGTTCATTTCCTTCTGGGGACCCCTGTGTCTCATAAAACTTCAATAAAGGGTGTGTTTTCCTCCTGTTAACCTGTCTTGTGGCAATTTAATTTTCGGGCGCAGCCAAGCATCCTGAGGAGTGGGAAGTGAAGTCTGGCCCCTCCTACAGTGACCACAGAAAAGAAACACGGACTCTAAGGTGATGGAAACACCTTGTCGCTCTGGAGCGTGGACTCCCTTGAACATGGCAAGAGATGAACTGCACACAGAAGCCCACCTCACACCCTGGGTGGCTTGTGGCTTGTACCAGGAATCAGGGTTTATGATGCACCCTTGATGCAAAGCCTTTAAGGAGTCTTTGGCTGAATAACTCCTTGCTTAACCTTCCTGGTGCTGCTATGGCAAAGTGCTGAAGGGGTGGAAGATGGGCAGAGCCAACAGACTTCTGTAGCAATTGAAGGCAGAGGATCTAAGTGCCTAAGTTAGAGCAGCGGTAGACAGAGAAGCAGCGGCTGACTCAAAGAGACACTCAACAGGCAGGAAGGGCAGGATTGGAGGCCGGTCCAGCGCTGGAGAAGGAGACCGGGAGAGCTCCCAGAGAGATGGCGAGGCCCGGGCGGATTGTTTGGCCTGAGATTCACACTCTATAGACAGGAAGCACAGGTCAGTGTGGGACACTCTGAGTCCGGGACATCCGATGCAGATGCAAACAAAGACGGCAGTTGGAAACACAAATCTGGGCGCGGGGTAGAAGTGAGGTCTTAGAGACTTGGGGTGGGGACCATTGGCATAGAGGTGGTGGTTGAAGTCTTTCCAACAGAAGCGACAAGAGAGATTATGGTAAGAAATGAGACATTGCAGAAAGAAGAAAGTAAGGAGAAAGCGTAGACAGTGAACCCTGCCACCATCTCAGGTCCATCCCACTACCTCCCGCCAAAATCCGTGCGATGGTCTCCTCGCGGGCTCCCTTTCCTCCAGCGCCTTCCTTCTGAAATGCATCCATCTCGTGACCAACAAATTCCTATCTTTTATAACATCCTCCTACTCAAAAGCCTAAACAATTCCCCACTATCTGCTGATAAGCCCTCCAAATCCTTGGCCTTGAAGCCCTGCACAATTTTTCTTTCTACTGCTTCTCCCATAAAAATGAGTTTCTGCCAAACTGGTCTTCTCAGTGTTCTGTGAACTTTGCCTGCCATTATTATTATTATTATTTTTATTTTCATAAGATCAACCTTCTTTTACCTTTTCTTTTCTCTATCAAAAATCCAGAGCAAACTCTACATTAAAATAACAAAAAAAAGTCACGGCACTCTAAGGCCTCAACGCACGCTTGACCATTTTCCAGAGCTTGCCCGTAGCAATTAAGACTTGGAATCTCATTCGGTTCCCTGGTTTGGTCTCAGCTGGAAGCCAGAAGATGGGGAGATCCGTGAGAACAGATTCCCTTTTCCTCGGGGCTCAGTCCCTGGGGCTGTGTTCCTGCCAGGCACCCTTTGCAGAATCAGTAAATGGCAGAGCTTCTCATGTAAACATTACTTGGCATTTATTTACGAATTGCTTATGTAATATCCTGGCTTCATACAGGTATACATAAGAGTGAAAAAATCGTGCTCTTCAAGAAGGCATGAGAAAGGAGGCTGAACTTTTTTGGAATCAAGAACAAACAAAGCTGTAAAGGGACTTCTGCAAAGACCCTCCATCACCCACGTTCTCTGTGTAAAACAGAATTGCCCCCTTCCTGTGCTGGTGTGAAAGAACATGTTCAAGACTGTGACCTCACTGGAAATACGGTCATTGCAGATGAGTTAAGATGCGGTCACCCCGGAGTAGGGGGGGCCCCTGATCCAGTTCCACTGGTGTCATATCAACGTCATCATCCATCCTGTCCCGTCTAAACCACTTGCATGCTGAAAATCATTTCTTCTGAATAGTTCAAAGGCGACTTCACCTCTTCTCACAAATAAAAGATTTTTGACGATATTAGAAATAGAAAGTGTTAGCTAACTGAAGGCCCCGAACGGGGCACAGCTACTTGGGAAGCTGAGAACTCACATTTTGTCCTGGACGTTCCTCGCCTCCTCCTGTCTCCTGAATTCCGCCCTGGCCTCTTTCACCCCGTTGACCGGCTCAGCCACCCGCAGCGTCGGCTCCAGGGGCTTGTAGCGCTGTTCCAGCACCTCAGCGATGTCTCGGAAGGGACCCTGGCAAGACAGGGAACATCGTTTCGTTACGGAGGGCTCCTTCACCGTGTTATTGATGACCCAGGCTACGGAATATTTCCGCGGGAACATCAGCAAGTTTACTGAATTATTTCTTAAGGAACAGTTTGTTCTTCTCTGAGTTAGAAAATACATGATATAAATACATGATATCACACCTTCAAGAAATGTTCACACGAGTACAAGTAATTATATGAAAAATGCTTCAGATTAAGCAGAAAGTTCCTCACATCAAAGGAGTCTTTGTGGTAGGACTGGCCAACTGGTAGTTATGGGTGGTTCTGCTTTCAAATTTTAAAGAGCACGTTGCACGTTTCTTCTAATATAATTTTAAAAGAATTATCTGCCTTTTAAAGTAAAAATATTAGGAGCAATTGTGAGCATAGCTTTCAAAGAGTATTTCTATAAATAGACAAAGGATAGCAAGTGCTTTTTCATTAAAATAAACCTTTTAGGTGAATGCCAAATCTTATTCAAATCTGCTGTTCCCCCCAAACATAGAAGGCTGTATTTTTAACTGTGTTCTTTATTTAAAATTCCGTATTTTATCGCTCAATAACTTTGATAAAATAGCAACCATTTATCCACACAAAAATATGGAAAAATCCAGAAGCTACAACCGTGAACCGTGATGTATGACACAGCCTACCTTTAAATTAGTAGTTACTTATACTAGTGACTAGAATCCACTGGTTATCTAACTCATTAGTATCAAATAAGGCACAATACGAATCAGAGGTGGCTCAAGATTTTGCTCTGCCATTAATTACACATTGCTTCCTTTTTTCACCACTATAGTACAGGAGAGGAGAGATATAGAATAAATGAAGATTTCTAATCACATTCCTTATCCTTCTTTAGATAGGTTATCACTAACAAGACACAGCTGGAGGTGCCGCCAGCCCTGAGTGAAGACTGTGGGCTAATAAAAAGAAATGATTCACGCCTCATTTCTGTTCACTTATGTTTTACATTAATAGAAACCAATAATAGGAACCAGTTACCATAAAAGTCATGGACCGTAAATAACACAAATGGCAAATAAGTATCATCGAGTACTTTCCACAGCTGGACAGGAGGATTGCTATATTTGAAAGGAGTTAATGAATTTTTATTGGAACTTTACTTTTTAAAGATACAGTAACATGATTCCAAGTTCACTATTAAGATGTGTATGTGTGTGTGTGTATACACATTCTCATTTGCTCTATATCTCTCTATATTTTATTATATATTTCATTTATTACATATAACTATTAATATATATTTACATATATTATATGTAAATGTATATATACATACTATATGAATGTGTATATATATTCTGTACCATAGTATATACAGCATTGTAATGTAATAACCAATATACATGGTCTCTGTCCTGGTTCCCAACTCAGATACATTTATATACCCACATCTTATTCATATCATACACTTTTCATATGTCCTAAGGAGTCGCATGCAGAATTGCTTTATGACTTCCATGTAGGACCAATACCTATCTCAGTGAATACAGCATAAAATATGGATTTTTAAATATTAAAATGTACTATGTTATATCTGATACCTAGCAACCATCGGATACTTAATGCCCATACAGTGGAGATTCTAGAATTATTTTCTTTGTAGAATAACTAATAAATGAATTGTTCACTCAATGGTATTATATACATCCATGACTTGCATTAATAGAAATATACATAACTCAAATGGTAAAAATTGTTACTCATCAAATTCACTTTCTATTTCTGTATAAATATATTTCAATGCCTTTATTCGATGCTGGTATAAGACATATTTGAAAAGAATAAGACAACCGTACCCTGAGGATATGTCCCAAAACAAAGGAAGTATTTCCCATGATGTCTCTTTGCCCTCTTGCTCAAGTCCACCCTGCTTGCCACTGCATTTCAGAAATTAGAATTTTTAGCTTCTATGGGTTTTTTTTAGATAACTAGATTAGTGTAAAGGTAATTAAGAATATTGATATAAATAGATTTTCTTATCAAATGAAGCAGGGATGAAGAAAAAGAGGAAGTGGTCCAGGGGGAAAATCACCTTCATAGATTTTCACTTATTTTTTACAGCTCTTTCCATAATATAGGATACATTGTCAGCTAATAGTATTAATTATCTGTTAGTAGTGTTTAGAGACCAAAAATACACAAGTAAAGGGAATTAAGGACCCAGCTACAGAGAATGGAAACACAACACACCACAGATAATTGCATGCAGCAGTGCCTGTTTTTATGGCAGAGAATGTCTTATTGCACGGTTGATGGAATGGCTGGGCCACGAAAGAGACCCCACTCCTGCATATCCATGTCCTCGCGTGGGCTGGACTTAACCACTTCTGACCAAGAGAATATGGGAGAGGGAACCGGGAGTCGCCCGTGGTGGTGGTAGGTCATACAAAGGCTGTGGCTTCTGTTCTGACAGCTCTCGGCTCTGCAGAGAAGCTCACAGGAGGAGGGGCTGAGACAGGAACCACCAACCAGAGGAGTGACCTTGGACATGGACCTCCCCACCCTCCTCTTTCACGTGACATCGCAGCAGCCCTGTCGCGTTGACTGAAACTCCCCAAGAGACCCTGAGTCAGAGGCCGTCACCCATGCTCTACCTACCATGCTGACCCGCGGAAACTCTGAGGTAAGAAGTGCATGTCGGCCTCTGCCACCAGGTTTTGCAGGAGTTAATTACACAGAAAGACACAAACACCAGCAAGCCCGGGCAGAGGACTCAAGGGTAGGAGCTCTGGGGGCTTGGTGGTGTGAACCAAAATAAACCCCGATCAGGGCTGGCGCTGCCTGGTGGCACTTGTCTGCTCCAGTGTAAATGTTGGTGGGGATGACAGAACTACTGCTGTCTGGGGCTTTCGGGACAGTACAATTGTCACCCGATACATTTCGCTCCGCACGACAGCTCCGGGAAGTCGCCTGCCAACCCTGCTCTGCTCCGACCCTCGCTGGAGACCCCGGGTCTGTGTCCACTGGAGTCCTGCATGGCTTCAGGCCCTCTCTGATTCTCCCACTTATATTTTTCTTTTTTTATTTTCAATTTATTTATTTTTTAAAATATTTATTTATTTTTAGAGAGGGAAGGGAGGGAGAAAGAGAGAGAGAGAAACATCAATGTGCGGTTGCTGGGGGCCATGGCCTGCAACCCAGGCATGTGCCCTGACTGGGAATCGAACCTGCGATGCTTTGGTTCACAGCCCACGCTCAATCCACTGAGCTACACCAGCCAGGGCTCCACTTATATTTTTCAATCATGTTTACAATTGTATGGAAAGACATGGATCATCAGATGGTAGATTACAGTAGGTGTATTTTATAATACATAAGATCTTTCTAGCAACAGCGGGATATAACAAGTATTGTTATAACAATATTTTTACCTAAAAAGGGCTAGATCCCAGCCCAAGATCTTATGCATTAACATTATATTCAAAACACTAAAATTCAGTACCAGAGAAATAATTCAAAATACTTCCTTGGTTTACATATCATACTTTATACTTATTACTTAAAGTTAGATTTTACAAAAATATAATTTTCTCTTTTGGCCACACAGACAAAGTAACAAAAAGTTTAAAAACCGGTGAGAACACAGTCGTGGACAGGATTCTTGTCGAGGGCCCGGGCGTACCTGGCACTGCTTCCTGTTGATGGGCGGCAGGACGTCGGAGCGAGGGAAGGACCGGGCGCTGGTGCACGCCAGCCAGCTGGTCAGACTGGTGGGCCGCTGCAGCTGCCCTCGTGGCCGCTTGCGCACCAAAGGCTTCGCCTGCTGAAGCCGCAGCTCCCAGGGGTCCGGCTCCTCCCGGAACGGTGAGTTGTAGATACCTGGAATCTGCAGAAAACAGAATCTTGGGTTTCGTCTTTAATTTCCACCGGCAGTGAAGGGAAGACCAAGTCGTGCCATAGAATTTTGCAATGTTTAAGGACTACTTTAAACGACACCTTGAGCTCCGAACTGGAGGTGAGTATCAGATTTATCGGAAAAGGATTAAAAAATGCACATGCTTTGTCTCCATTCCAGACCAGCTGTCTCGGAGTCACTCACGGTTGGGGACGAAACATGGGAAAAACTGCTGAGCCACAGATTCTGTCTGACACCCAGGGTATATTTTCTGCAACTGTTATTATGAAAAAGAGAACAGGAGGACATTGCACCACTTACTCTGCATTCTGACCATTAACTACGGGTGTGCACACGTGCCCACATCTGTCGCCACACACTCACGCACACAGACCGAGACTCCCTGTGCTTGAACCGGTTCCGGGTACGAGTGTGCAGTCCATAAACATCTGGTTTTTGAATGATTGTTCACTCCATAACATTACATAACAGTCGTTATTTTAAGTTCTTCACTTTAAGATAATAATCAAAGTGGACACATAGGGGTGTGTGTGTGTGTGTGTGTGTGTGTGTTCAAGATTCGGAACTCATGTGGTTCAGTGCTGTACTTCTGTAGTGTCATGTTACCCTTGCTGTTGATCATTGACCTTGTCACACTGCATCAGAACGGTCAAGACTCACTCGGCACAGCCCCTGCTATGCGGTAGAGGTTCATTAGATGTATGAGTGACAAATAGATTCAAGGGGAGCAGATGTCCATTTTCTGAAAAGTCAGTGGCGTTGGAATGCAGAAGCGCATTTCAATATTCTTCTCATATACACACGTTCATATGCATAAAGGAAAGTCACACGGCCGCGGGTAGGACGACGACCTGTTTGGTTGCTTTGTGGACACTCTAATGTAAACAACATACCCACTGAAGCTATCTGTTTTTCCTAAAAATGTGCTTTTCTCTTATGCCACTCTCATATCCATAAATATTTCTGCTTGCTATATTTCCCTCATGGAATCAGCAGTTTCAAAATATTCAGGTTAATCGGGATAGTCGTCTTGGGAAAAGTATCCTAAAAAAATGTCTCTTTCCAGCCTAACTCTGCAGTGAGTGCCAACCTCTGCCTAACGCCACCCACTCAGGCCAGATTCGGTGTCCGGTCCTGTGGTCGTTTGTGTGCGTGAGTGTCCGCCCTCCCCGAGCGAGCAGCTGGAGCAGTGGGACTCTCTGGGCCAGGTGGTGCCGCGTCCCCAGTGCGCAGAAGACACTGAAAACGATGCTAAATGCTTATCTACGTTAACGGTGCAACACTCGAAAGGGCTCACGAAGCCTCTAATTCACTATTGTTTTCCAAAGCCACATAAATACTCTTAGTAAAATGTTTGAGGTTTATTTCAAAATCCTATTGACTTCCTTCAAAGAAGTTATAAATTATACCCTTTTTATTGTTCTTAACACATCAGCTTTAGTTCACTTTCAAGCACATTGTGATGTAGAACTAACTTATCACAGATACCTTTGAGCCTCCTCCAACTCAACTTTCCCTATGGTGTAAAGTCATGTTGGCATCCCCTCACTGAAATACTGAATACAGGCCAAGGCGGGTACATACACGGATAGTTAAAGGATCTTAATGAAATAAAAAAATACATACACACGAATATATATATACACATACATGTGTGTGCATGGATATACATGAGTGTGCATATTTGGATAAATGTATGTATATGTATGTATATATATGCATGTGTATGTTTATAATACAGTTAAAGGACCTCAATTGAAGAAAATATATATATACACACACATACACACATATTTATTCAAAATAGCTTTCAGTAGACAGTAACTTTTAAGGGGATGGCAATTTTCAAGATGATTTTTAGGGCGATTTCCTATGATGAGAACGTATCCATTGTAATGAGGGGAAAAACCATATATGTTACATTGAGAGACTATTCGGACATTAAATGTAAATCTAGGTAAGTCTATGATAGAGATACAGGAAAATGCCATTCTGTTTAGCGTATCATGCCCACAACCTTACAGATGAAAACAATAAGATACATAGAACTAGACTATGACATGCGCTTTAAGAGATCCCTCTGCCTGCGTAACTGCCACCGGCTCTTTCCCCGGCCCCCCCAGAAACCGCCTGTGACCCCCACCCGCATCTGCATGCGCGTGTACACACAGGCTAGATGGGAAATGCAAATGGGGCCGCGGACATGATAGCTTCCTTAAATTATATTTTGCAACCTATATGGAGACCTCCTCATGTGTATTCTCTTTGCAATTTAAATCAAATATAGACAGAAAATATATTTTAATTGAATTCAAAGTGCATCATTTAAAATCTGCAAGGTGTCAATATTTCAGATATTAATGTAATGCCTTTGCTAACAACGTCACTGAACACAGCCCAGTCCTCCCACAATTCCTATTTATTTAGAATTGAGCAAGCAAACACCCCATTTACTGAGATTGAGACAGTATCCGCTTAATTAGTATTATTTAAGTAACTAAAACAACCTTCACTTACTATCGTCTCAGTGGCTATATTTCATAATTTGTGAGCCACTCGTGAATAATGGCTTGTTGTTGATTTTTAAAAATATTACTACGGGTCACAAAAGACCACGTTAATCCTAAGGGACTGTGACACATTTTGCAGTTTTCACATTTTTCACCACGTCGGAGGGCTGCCGCCAAGCCAGCTTGTGGGACTTCATTCTTCGCAATAATTTCCTAGAGTGACCAACACTATGGGGAAATCTGTGCTAACTGTTGAAAAAAAAAGAGCCTACAACTGAGTTATTTGCAGTACTGTCATGCTAACATTCAACTCAATAAGACCCAGGGAATCTCGGGAGAGGACTTTGCTAATAGCTTCCTGCTGACCTCCTTGCATCGGCCGGGCTGCTGACTGGTGGCCCAGCGGTGAATACGGCAAATGAGGTGTGAAAGCACCGATATTTTTTTTAAAGGCTATGATTCTGACTCGTCAAAAGGGGGGAAGAAAGGCAATGAGTTATATAATAGATATATATTTTTCTTGAATTCCCCCCTTTGGACCCTCCATCATGGGAACTTAAGCATGACCCAGAATATTAATTACGGCGGGCTGAGCAGCGCACACATGTACCATTTGTCACCCAGTCACCCTTAGCGTTACATTAATATTTTGAACTATTCCGTATTTCTAACAATCTATCAAACTATTCCATGTTTCTAACAATCTATCAGTGGGCTCTTTTCTTCCCAGTTTTTATTCTTATAGTTAAGTATTTATACAGGAAAGTGCTTTGAAAATGCAACTGATTGGAAGACAAATGGATGTACACTTTGTGTTTGGAGCAGCTAATGTTTTATTTCACAGAGAATGTTTTTATGGTCATTTTCCTTTCTTGCACTGACCTTTATTGTGTAATTGCCTGGGGGAAGCTATGTCTAATTTTTTTTCCCCTTCTCTTTGTTATTGAGGTTTACTTTTCAAACAAGTTTCTGTGAAATAAAAAATCTTGAGACGAGATTGTGTACGCCTGTAATTCCCGAAGCGCATTTAGTAGCGTTTCCGTTTCATATTTTACCATACGAGAAATAACAATTTCTCCTGATTTTAAAGTCACTGCTTATTCTGGGAGAGTTCAACTTTTACCTCCGCAAATGGCAATTACACAGCAAACAGGAGTCGCTGATTGCCACCAAAATGGAACGAAATTAAATCATTGTCTTGCTCCATGATTCAGAATTTGTGGTTGCTGTGAGAGAGAGACGCAGTTCTCAAATCAGGGCTGTCTCCAGTATGCACGGGTCCTGGGTGTGCATTAAACAGTGCCTGGAAGGAATGAGGCACCCAGCAACCACAGACGGGTAGTAAGGATCTCTCATCACCGCCCGGGAGAGGAAAAGTGGGCCGGAGAAGTATGAATGGGATATTCGCCGGGATGGGGACTGCTGAGTCCACACTGACCAGTGCACTTCATCATAATTATCGGGACACCGTCGTGCCGGGGGATTTATAAAAACCCCACTCAGCAAATAATTGCCCTGCTGTTAGGAGCCAGTCAGAGTGTTAACACACTGTCACAGTCCAGCGTTTAGTAAGATATTCTACATCCAATTACTCTTGCTGAGGACTAACGGGGAACACGGCCATTTCTCAGGAAGCGGCGATGCTTCCGCGGGCGTTTCGGACAATAGCCGCGCTCACCGCGCTCACCCCGCTCCCAGGGATGCAGGGTGCACGGGTGCACGGGAGCCTCAGGGGTTCGCAGAACGGCATTCGGTCTAGGACTCATCTGTGACAAGCAAGATTTAAAATTAAAAAAAAACAACTATTACTAGCTACAAATGCTTTTTCTCTTCTTTTACTTCAGTTCAGAAATAGGATTTTTTTTTAATGGTTAGGGTCAAATTCTAGAGGGGTCACATTATATGTAGACCCCAGGTGTAGCTGGCTTCTTTAGGTTAATGAGTGATTTTCAGAAAACATTTGGATAGTTTAACCACCATTATCATATATTAAAGTATCCCCGTGCAATGTCGATTAAAACGAAGGCATGGAAGTAAGATCCCGTTCTCCACACACTAATTAAATTCAACACCACTGCGCATCTGCGAACTTAGAAACGCTTTGCTGGACCTGCGGTGGGTGGGCGACGAGAAGAGTGAAGGGTGGTCGGCCCACCACAGCCTTCTCAGCGGTGGGGTGGGGGGAGGGTGGCAGTAGGAGAGGGATTTTGTGACCAACAGTGACATGACCAGCCTGTAGCAAATGTCCTGTAACTACCATTGTAAAAGAGGCAGACGCCCAAGGATGTGGGGAAGGAATGTATCCTTTAGAAAAGCCCGGGGAAAGTATCTGAATTTGCACTAAAGATAGGTAGAATTCTGGCAATGAAAAAAGGGGAAGGGCATTCCAGGCTACGGGAAGGGTGAGGACAAAGAGGTATAAAGGGGAATAGCCTGCGGCTGCTGTTCGGTGAACACCCG